TAAGGATCCTTGTAGTAAGGGTTCGCCGCTCATGCTTCCCTTAGTAACGGCTTCTTGGTAATGGTGCAAGTAGTACGGGTTCCTCAGTAATAATGCTTGTGATAAGGCCTCGTGAGGGAGGGTTCCTTTAGTAAGTGTCCTCTCCTTAAGGACCCCTCCAGTAATGATTTGTTTTTACCATTACTACTGCTACTACCACTACGACGACGACGACAAACGACTACTACTACTACTACTACTACTACTACTACTACTACTACTACTACTACGGCTACTACGAGTACTACCACCACTACTACTACTACTACTACTACTACTACTACTAGTAGTAGTAGTAGTAGTAGTAGTAGTAGTAGTACACTACTACTACTACTACTACTACTATACTACTACTACTACCCTACTACTAACTACTACTAACTACTACTACTACCACTACGACTACTACTACTACTACTACTACTACTACTACTACTACTACTAACTACTACTACTACTACTACTACTTACTACTCTCTACTACTACTACTACTACTACTACTACTACTACTACTACTACTACTACTACTTACTACTATTACTACTACTACTACTACTACTACCTACTACTCTACTACTACTACTACTACTACTACTACTACTACTATACTAACTACTACTACTACTACTACTACTACTACTACTACTCCTACTAGCTACTACTACTACTACTACTACTACTACTACTACTACTACTACTACTACTACTCTCCTACTCCTACTCCTACTCCTACTACTACTACTACTACTACTACTACTAGTAATACTACTCTACTACTACTACTACTACTACTACTACTACTACTACTACTACTACTACTACTACTACTACTACTACTACTACTACTACTACTACTACTACTACTACTACTACTACTACTACTACGACTACGACTACGACTACGACTACGACTACGACTACGACTACTACTACTACTACTGCGACTACTACTACCACTACTACTACTACTACTACTACTACTACTACTACTACTGCTACTGCTGCTGCTGCTGCTGCTGCTGCTGCTGCTACTACTACTACTACTACTACTCCATCTTTCAGTAGTGGATCCGTAAGAAGCGTGCGCGTTCTTGACCAACGGTACCTTTCTCCAGGAATCCTTTCTTTCGGATGCTTTTTAATGCGGCCTACCTTTATTCAGGAGTCCCTTCGTGAGGACCCCCTGCAGCAAGGCCTGATTTGCAATTTTGTCTTAAGCAAGGGTTCCTTACAATGCATGCCTTCTGTAACGGGCCATGAGCAAGGATTCTGTTGAGAAGGGTTCATTTTCTCCCCCTTGGCTCTGTTATTTTTTGTCCATTGAATTGGGGGCTTCGTGCCCCGCCCTGTGCAATGGCGGGCCTCCTGCCTGGCCGTTGGCGCCCGACCCCGACAACTGTGCCAGGCTCGTCCTCCTGCCGCCTTGGGAGTGCTCGCTCATGGCGGCTACCTGGCGCCATTGCAATACATTGATCATTACTGGCCTTGCTTCTTTTCCGCTGTTGTTGTTGTTGTTGTTCTCGTGTCCTCTGCTCTCTCTCTCTCTCTCTCTCTCTCTCTCCGTGCTTGTGGCTCCAATTCTGTGTGCGGTATCACTGACATGGGCGTCAGCGGGGGTACCTACACAATGTGCTGCAGCCTCGTAGTTGTTCCCCCTCTTCTCCAGGGGCGCTGTCCTGCGCTTTCTCATCCTTCTCCTTGTGTTCTAGGTTCCGTTCCCTAGTCGTTTCACGGCGTGCTCTTTTCAGCTCGCACGGAGTATTTAGTGTCTCCGCGGATTTGCGGCCGTTTGTTCTTTCCTCCGTTTCAGGCTGTAGCGCAGTTTCGCTGACGTGTATTACAGGCATCGAAGTTGAGCTGGTCATATGTTTTGCGGTGAAGAAAACTTAGTCCGAACACTTTGTGTGTGGGGGGGTTGTGGGTGGTGCGGGGCAACAAAATTAGGCTGGCGGAGGACCCAGCCATTTAAATTTGTAAGTACCGCAGTTGTGAGAGCCGTGATCGGTGGAGCCCCCTGGGGCCACGAAACGTGTGGGGTGTGTACCGAACCGTGCACGGGCACGCCGCGCGGACTGTGCCAATGGGGCCTTCGGTGGAGCTCTCTCAGGAACAAGTGTATGATGGATGCGCCGTGTCGGGTGCGGCTGCGCCGTGCGGACTGCTCCGTTGGGGCTCTCGATGAGGCTCATTATGTGCCAACGGAACGTGTGGGGTGTGTGCGAAAGCGGGTACGGGCACGCCTGGCGGGGACTGTCGCTGTGGCCTTTTCGGTGGAGTTCCCTAAGGGGCCACGCAGCGTGTGAGAGGTGTGCCGAATTGGATGCGGGTGCGTAGTGAGGTCTGTGCTTTTGGGGCCTTCGGTGGGCATCGCTGCGTGCCACGAAGCGTGCGGGGTTTGTGCCGAGTGGGGCGCGGGAACGCCATGCAGATTGTGCCGCTGTGGCCTTTTCGGTGGAGCTTCCTATGTGGCCGCGGAGCGTGTGAGAGACTGTGCCATTGGGGATTTCGGTGGAGCTCCCTATGGGGACGATGTGAGTACCGTGCCGAAGTGGACATGCGGGGGGCAGAGGCAGGGATGGGGGAGGAAGGAGTGAAAGGGGGAGTCACAGAAGGAGGAGGAGGAGGAGGAGGAGGAGCAGGAGGAGGAGAAGCAGGGGGAGGAGGAAGGAGGAACCAGGATGGAGGAACGCGGAGCGCTGTCTTCAAAACGAGGACCCAACACCACATGACGGCTAGGAAAAAAACATTATATCGGCAAACGATGTGATAAGTTTACCCCCTCCCATTGCCGCCACCACCACCACCGCTGAACTGGGACTGCGGGAAAGACTGCGGTCTCCGCTGAAGGTCAGGGCCTAGGTCGTGGCCTGGGTCCAGTAGGAAGGGCGATTTAGGGAGCGTTTCTTAAGTGAGAGATGTTTCGTACAGGTTTATTTGGTAGCCAGTCGTTCGTCAGGGTGCTTATTCTACACGGCATTATGCAGAACAACTATCATTGTACGGTGATCCGTATGAGGATATTTTGTTGCTCGATTGTTGGGAAGTGGGCCTTTCATCAATGGCTCATTGGTCAGGGTCCCTTCAGTGAGAGCCCTTCGTGTGGATGTCTATTAGTAAGGGCCCCCCTCAGTAAGGATCCCTGTGGTAAGTTCTCACTGCTCAAGTTTCTATCAGTAGTGGGTCCTTGAAAAGGGTGCCATCAGTTATATAGTAAGAACCCTTCGTAAGGATGCTTCACTCAGACCTCCTTGGTGATGGTGTCTTTACTATGTGTCCCTCGGTAAGGACCCCCTGCAGTAAGGGTTCAATCGCTCAGGGAGCCAAAGCTGCGCGCGAGCTGCGCGCGAGCTGCGTCGTGACCGTCCGGAGGCCGCCACCCCCTGGTGCGCGTCGCCAGGCAGGAGGGCTGAGAAAAGCAGGACCTTTGGGTTTGAATTCTGGTGGAGGGTCCGAAAGAAGTTCGGGTGCGGGGTAAGTCGAAGGGGCTAATTTCTAGCGCTCGGAAAGGTCAGGGATGTCGTCCCAGATCCATTTCTTCTGATGTCCCCCAAGGCCCAAAACACGCCGCCACGAGGCCGAAATCGAAAGGAAACATTCATATTGTTTCATATTCCGGATGTCTGGACCTTGCCCAGACCCCGACGTGTTCTTCAACACGAGTTCTGATTTTTGTTGTGGCGGTCCTGGGGCCCGAGGTCCCCCAGAGGTACATTGATGAAAACCATCCGGTGTAATTGTTCCACTACGCGAGGAAGTTCGTTTTTGTTGGAGCGTGGAGTTTCAGGAGGGTGGTTCTAGGGGAGGGTGATTCTAGGAATCCGGGGTGATCCAGGGGAGGACAGGAGGAGTAGCTCCCGTCTGCATTCGGCATCCTGCACGCCCGCGAGGAGGAGTACTGGGGCCTCTTGAAGGGGCGGGCTATCTCCAAGGAGATCGAGCAGTTCTACTCGCAGTACGAAGGCTCCTCCTGCTCATCATTATGACCGTCATCTTATATTGTTACAAGCCCATATGAATGCATGTAGTTGTGTACATGATCCCAGGTCGAGGGTTCACAGGCTCCCCGCCCACCCCGATGGGACGGGATCCAGGTTTCCACAGCCCCTCCCCAGATAGGATAGGATTGGAGGTGGCGACGACGACGACGCCGACGGAAGACGATGACGTCGACGCTGACGCCGACGCCGCCGCCGACGCCGACGCCAACGCAGACGCCGACGCTGACGCCGACGGACACGACGACGACGACGACGAAGACGACGACGACGACGACGACGACGAGCCACCCCACACCCACAAGGGAAGGGAGGGGCACTGGCACCCACCACCACGCCGTGCCCACAGGGCCACGACCACGGGGGGGGGGGAGCGATCGCATTCGCCAGGCCTTCACGAGACTCACGTGCGTACCCATCCAGCGGGGAGGGGGGAGCTCGATCCCATATGCGTGCGTTGGAGGGGGGAAATCTGGATCATATATGGTGGCCTTCGGCCCATACAGGAGGGAGGGCAGACGACAGGAGGGAGGATCAGAGGGACTGGGAGGAACGGGTAAATCATGGAGGACGTAGAAGGGCGTGGGGCTGGAGGGATGACCCGACTGAAACGCAAAGCCAGTGAAAACGGCTGTCAACTTCGCAGCACATCGTGGAATCCACATGGGCGTTGGCTGAAATGCCGGTCGATCGAGATTGCGGAACGGATGCCGCGGTCGGCGTTTGTGGGGCAACGCGCCGACTTGGGCCAGACCCGGGGCCCCAACGGGGCCCCAAGCCTTCGTGCTCCCCGCTCTCGCCTCGGCGAGCAGGGCCGGCGTCGAGAGGGCGTGCCTGCGCGACTCTGCATCATCGACTGTCTTGTGGAAGCGCCTTCGCACGAGCTGCAGCCTGAGCGCGCAAGATGCGCGTGCGCTGGTCTAGCGAAGAGGTGCGCACATGTAAATACGCATGTGCACGCGAAGGTCAGAGCTGGAAAAACGTGATATCCATCGGCGACTCTCAGTTCGAACGGTACGGACTCCTCGCCGCCTCCACGGCGTACATCCAGAATAAGCGGATGAGCCAGCTCGACGTTACCCCCTTTTCGCCGGCTCAGTCGGGCGCGTGGCAGAAGCTGGATGTGACCCAGGACGCGGAGCACCAGATACGCCTCCGCGTGAAGTGCTGCAAGCTCTTGGGCGATCCAGATATGGACGGTTGCACGTAGAATTTGCCGGGGGGGCATCTCAGTCCCAACAACCGTTGTTTCGTTCGACGCCCAGATAGCGACGGGCAGCCTACTCAGCCACGCGCAGAGGGGGGCGGGGGGAGGGGGGAGGGCTTCTTAGGAGCACCCCTGCTTCTTAGAAGGCGCGGGCCTTACGTCTATAAATGTAATGCCTATAGATGTAATGCCAGCGCCTTCTAAGAAGCAGCCTCCTTCTAAGAAGCCTCGGGGGTGGACAGACCTCCTACCCTGACACGTCGACTAGCGAATTGGCCGTTTTCGGTTCGCGAGAGGACGTCGCGGCCGTCACTTTTGCGGGTCCAGGTCCGTCCGTTCCGGTCCCAGGCCGTTTTCATTAAAAGGTGGTTTACTATCGGGGGGCGGCAAAGAGGGGGGTGATTACTAGGGGGGGGGGATATCATGGCGTGGGCCATGATATTTCCCCAGATTTCGTGGCGCCTCTTCTTGGTTCACTACGTCCCTGGCCCCCCCGCTGGGCCGCGCACGTGCCGCCGGTCATGATTTGCCCCCCCCCCCCTCTTGGACACCCCCCTCTTGGCTGCTCCCGATTTCTAAAGGGAGGTTTGTCCACCGCCGAAAGCCCGCCCCCCTCCCTCCACCCCCTTGTGGCGCACCGCCCCGCCCGCAGTGGCCACACGCAGCTAGGGTGAAGTCGGGCCTGTCCCTCTACAGGGGGAACATTCAAAAATAGTAAAAAAATAGTCTGGGGACTATTTTTAACATATTTTTGGCAATTTTGGGGTATGTTTGGGGCATGTTTTATTTATCGTCGAAAACCCCCCTGTAGGGGGACACGCCCGACATAAAGCTAGGGCTTGCGCTGACCGTGGGTTGCGCAGCGGGCCGGCGGCGCGCCGGGGGGGGGAGCTGCGAAGGGGGCAGGCCGCCTCAGGATCAGAAGCGGGGCGAGGGCCGGCGGCTCCGTGGCTGCTACATAGCAGAGTGGTAGACCAGGGGCAGCGATAGCTCCAAGATGTCATGACCCCCTCGTCTCAAATCATTGCGTTCCCCGACCCCCCTCCTCCCCATCCTCCTCCGACTCCGACTCCTCCTCCTCCTCCTCCTCCTCCACCTCCTCCTCCTCCTCCTCCCCCTCCTCCACCTCCTCCTCCTCCTCCTCCTCCTCCTCCTCCTCCTCCCTCCTCCTCCTCCTCCTCCTCTCCCCTCCTCCTCCTCCTCCTCCTCCTCCTCCTCCTCCTCCTCCTCTTCCTAAGTTAACTCCCGGAAGAAAAAACTCAGCGCGTTAAATAGCAAACGGGCTGTTTCCCAGAAGAAAAAACAACTTCCCAGAGCTCCGTTGTAGCAGCCGTGGGTTTGCCAGCCTTCGCCTGGCTTCTAACAGAAGGCGATGCCATGGGGTTTCTCGGAAGCTCGCCTGCCTTCTGAGAAGCCCTTCGTGGCTTCGGAAAGTTTCTTCGAAGGCCAGACCTTCTCTGAGCCTCCTGAACTCGGGCGTGGCTAGGACGAGGGAAAAACGATCCTGGAGCGTTCCGGAACTCTCTCAGAGCGCTCCGGAACGCTCTGAGAAGGACGCGTCGCCCGAGACATCTTCCACAGCAGATCTCAGAGATTTTCGATTTGTCCTCGCCCGATTTAATCCTCGTCCTGAGTTCGTCCTTTGAGCGGGCCCGCCCCCTCTGCCTTCCCCCCTGGGCGCGCGCCGCCGAAGGCAAGGCCACCGCCACAGCCGCCCGAGCGGCGCAAGGCAGCGAGGCCGTCTGCGCGGGCGCCTGCGAGCAGGCTGCCCGCGCAAGGCCCGCGCACAAGGGCCCACTCGGAGGGCCCCGTTCTGCTCGGGGGCCACGAGAGGGGGGGGATTGGGCATTGGGGGGGGGGGACGCATCGACCCCCGATCGCCCGTTGCTCCCTGATAGGGGTCTCTGATAGCTGATGGCCCCACCCCGCCCAGTGGAGGGGTCGGATTCGCCATCGGGGGCCCATCGCCGATCTAGCGGCGAGGCATCGCCGATTCCGGGCCGATGTTCGGGGAACAAAAAGTGACATAAACATAAAACCTCGGAGGTCCGCGCGGATTTCTCGGATCGGCGCTGGACCCCCCTCCATGGCGCGCGGAGCGCGCCAGGGGCTACGCTGGAGGCGCCGCCGGGGGGCCTCAGCGCCGATCCGAGAAATCCGCACGGACCTCAGAGTTTTTATGTTTATGCCATTTTTTGTTCCCCTAGATGTTCCCCCCTGTGCCAGTTCCCGCCGAGCGTTGCCCCCCCCCCCAGCAGCCAGCCGCGGTGGCCGCACTCCGCGTGAGCCGCCGTGCAGGGTCGTCGCGGCATGGCGCGCGGCACCCCGTTGTTCAGAGGATCGGCAAGCCACGATGACGAAGCGCTCCAATCGGCGGCGCGCCGAGGGGGGCGGTGAGAGGGGCAGGGCTTCTCGGAAGGCGGCGGGGCTTCTCGCGGAAGCTCTCGGGCCTTCTGAGAAGCCGCCTCGACCTCGGGAGGAGGCTTCAAAACCCTCCCAGAAGGCCGGAGGTCCTCTGAGCCCTCTGAGAAAAGCAGGCCCGCCCCCACAACCTGTCCCTTGTTCCCGGAGGGCGCTCCGCCGATCCAAGAATCTCAAACCTCCCAGGCTTTTTTTTGATTTCCTCGTGTTCCGCACGGGCTCCAGGAACGAGTGCCGCTGGCTACAGTCGGGTCGCTGAAGAAGCAACCCTTCGCGTTGGGGCTCCGTGTTCCGGGGCTCCGTGTTCCTTCATTGTTGAACAGCTTGCCTCAGGTTTTCCTGATGTTTTCGACGGGAAGCCGAAGAGTAATGTATGGAAAAGAGGGACCTCGTCCCTTATTTTGGGTTCCTTAGGTCAACGCCCCGACTTTACTCAGAAGTGTGTGGGACGTGGGAGGGGGCAGAAGAGGGGGTCGGAGGTGGCGGTGGTGGTCTGTGCCTCTGCTAGCGCCCCCGCGGGACGCCCCGGTCCGCCTGCCCTGCCCCTCCCTCCACGAGTCGTTCGGCGATCGGCGCCTCAGCTGTGCCCGCGCTGTTGCCTCCAGCTCTGGGCGTCTGGCGAAGGGCATGGATTAGACAACGGTGCGCCCAGCGCCCAGGTGTCATAGAGGCGTGTGTGAGTACGGGAGATCCCGGCCCCCCCCCTCCTCTCCCGCAGGCCTCCCTGGCAGCCCCCGAGGCTCCGAGACGGCCTCCAGTCAGCCAAGGACGCCTCCAAGACGCCCCAAGAGGACCCGAAGAGCGCGGCATGACGCCCCCAGGATGGCCTCAAGACGCCGCAAGAGCCTGCGGTGGCCAAAATGTTGCACAGCGTACATGTGTAGCAGATTGATGGTTTGGGTCTTGCCAGCGTCCACGACGGCCTGAGAGGCTCCCCAGGGGGCTCCAAGACTTCTCAAGACAGCCTGAAGATGGTACAGGAGGGCTTCAAGACGGCCCCAGGGAGCTTCAGTACGGCCCAAGAGGCTTCCAGGCCGGCCCGAAGCGAACCCCAGGAGAGCCCCGAGAGGGTGCCAAGAGGGGTCGGGTGCCGCTGTCCTGGCAGGCGCAGCGCCCAGCGTGCCCCCGAGGCCCTCTCGGAGGCCACAGCAAGGGGAGCCCTGCCCCGGCAGGGTGACGTGTCGTACAGTGTCGCGGCACCCGCCGTGAGCGGTGGTGGCCCCTGCGCGGCACCCCGAAGCTGGAGGCACGCGCAGGGGCCACCACCGCTCGGGGCGAGGGTCGGGCCCCGGGTCGGGGGGGTGGGCGGCGGTTGAAGTTGTGTGTAGGTGTGTGTGTGTGTGTGAATATGCGTACGTATGCGTGCGCGTGCGCGTGTGCGTTTGCGTGTGTGTGTGTGTGTGTGTGCGTGTGCGTGTGCGTGTGCGTGTGCGTGTGCGTGTGTGTGTGTGTGTGTTGTGTGTGTGTGTTGCGTGTGCGTGTGCGTGTGTGTGTTGCGTGTGTGTGTGTGTGCGTGTGTGTGTGTGTGTGTGTGTGTGTGTGTGTGTGTGTGTGTGTGTGTGTGTGTGGTGGTGTGTGTGTGTGGGTGTGTGCGTGCGTGTGTGTGTGTGTGTGTGTGTGTGCGTGCGTGCGTGTGAATGCGTGCGTGCGTGGTGTTTGTGTCTCGTGAGTGTATGCGTGTGTGTGTGTGGTGTGTGCTGTGTGTATGTAAGTGTGTTGTGATGTGTGCGTGTGCGTGCGTGGTTGCTTGCGTATGTGTATGTCTGTGTGTGTGCCGTGTGTGTATGTGGGTGTGTGCGAATGCGTGCGTGCGTGCGTGTGTGTGTTGTGAGTGTATGCGTTGATGTGGTGTGTGGTACGGTGCGTGTGCGTGTGCGTGTGCGTACGTGTTGTGTGTGTGTGTGTGAGTATGCGTACGTATGCGTGCGCGTGTGTTGCGTGTGTGTGTGTGTGTGTGTGCGTGTGTGTGTGTTGAGTTTGTGTGCTGTGCGTGTACGTGTGCGTGTGCGTGTGCGTGTGCGTGTGCGTGTGTGTGTGTGTCATGTGCGTGTGCGTGTGCGTGGTGTGTATGTAAGTGTGTGGTGTGTGTATGTGTGCGTGTGCGTGTGCGAGTGCGTGTGCTTGTGCGTGCGTGTGTGTCTGTGTGTGTGCGTGCGTGTGTGTGTGTGCTTGTGTGTGCGTGCGTGTCAGTGTGAGTGTGCGTGCGTGCGTGCGTGTCTGTGTGTGTGTGCGTGTGTGTGTGTGGGTGCTTGTGTGTGCGTGCGTGTCAGTGTGAGTGTGCGTGCATGCGTGCGTGTGTGTGTGTGTGCATGTATGTGTGTGTGTGCGTGTGTGTGTGGGTGTGTGTACGTGCGTGCGAGTGCGAGTGCGTGTGCGTGTGTGTGTGTGTGAGAGTGTGTGTGTGTGTGTGTGCGTGTGAGTACATGTGCGATGTGTGTTGTGCGTGCTGTGTGTGTGTGTGTGCTTGTGTGTCGTGTGTCCATGTAGTGGCGTGTGGGGCGTGTCTGGTGTTTGTGGCATGTATGTGTGTGTGTGGCGTGTTGTGTGGGGGGGTGCTTGTTGTGTGCGTGC